TTCACACTCCCGGGGACAATCCCTCCTTTCCCTCCTCTCGTCCATGGTGTCTTTCCTCCTTGTGTAATCTAGTTCTTCCCACTCTTGAGCCTGATGGATGTCTCTCTGACTTTCTGGACGTTCGAGCTTTTGTTCCTGGTTCTTTCTTTTTTCATAAAGTCCTCTTTCTGTCTCATAGTACCTGATGTCAAGTTCTAGCGGTTCTTTTATGTATGACTGATGTGGGCGTCTTGTGTCCAGGCATTCAGGCTCACACGGCTTGTGGCTGATGTGTTCAAGTCCTTTTTGTTCCAGCTCACGTAAGTGGTAGCGGCTTCTCTCTTCTGTGAGTAATTCAGGTTTACGTGGTTGATTGTTAGTTCTTCTATCTGCTGCTTCTGGCCGCTGTTTTTTTTGATCATATGCTGGTAGTACTGGCTCGTGTTGCTGATGGCTACTCCACCGGTTTAGCAGCGGTTGTGGTTCACAGGTCTGGCTGCGACTCCTCACATCTGCCAGTTGTTCTGGCTGAGGCTCCTCTTGATTCTGTCTCTCATCTGCCTGCAGTCCAGGCTCATGTGCTTGCAAGCTGCTGTGCTTGTAGAGTTGTCCATCTCCTGGTCTGTCTGGCTCCGGTGGCTGACGTCTTCTCTGGCTCTTCTGTTGGTCGCATGGCTTTTGGCTTCGTTCTTCGTATACCCGAGGGATTGCCTCTCCCGGCTCACTGCTTCGTTTTGCATCGTTTCTGCTTTGTGTGTTACATTGCTGGTGATGAATCCCTGTTTCCTCTAGTGTTTCAAGCTCATTGACCCTGGTGTCTTGTTGCGGCCCAGTTTCACAGAGGGGATAGTGATCACTCTCACAGGCTTGTCGTTCCTCCTCCTGGAGCTGCCGACGGCTCCCTCTGTTCTTCATTTCAGGCTCTCGGAGTGACTTGCCACTGGTTGTCAGCTTTGTTCTTTGCAGAAGGTGTGGTCCCTTTGGCAGGTACCAGTAGCAGGCCTTAGCCACTCTGAACACCAAAAGTAGGAACTCATTAAAATCTATTTCCCCATCACTATCCCACTCCAGAAACAGTAGAATCTTGTCAATCGTCTGAGGGTCATGCGGCTTCTGCAGGGAAAACACACACAGAGAAACAGAAAAAGGATTTTAGCCTTCCTGCTCCTTGTCAGAGAAATACAAAGACAGGGACAGTTGCAATTTTTTCTCCTTCTGTCTCTCACATCTTCACTTTTACAGTTCAGCAAATAACTCTGTGTCTTTGTTCTCCATTTTCCTGGTTGTTCCCTGGCTGCAGCTAACGAACTCTCTTCTCTTTGGGATATTCTGTATGCCTCTACTAGATGCATTCCTTTCCTGCCATTGAGAGAAAACCATACCTCCCCGTGGTTCATTCTGCAGCTTTTGCCCACTTGCTTATGACATAGTGGGTTGGAAGAGCTGTCGAAGCAGTTGGTGCAAAAGAACCCAACTGCTGCTCCTCTTTGGCAAAAGCTTCCCCATCCCACTGCCATAAGAATCATCCACTCTTACGGGTGGATCTCTCCCCCAAGGAAGTTTTACAGTCCCTGCCCTCCAGTCTTGGCCTCAAGTGCTCCCCCTCGCAGCAGCACTCACAGCTATGACATCTGCAAACTCCCTCTGGATGAACTCTTTCATCTTCCTTCGGCTGATGTTGGAGCAGTCTCCATCTTCCTTTGTATATTTGTGAAAGACACTGATGATGGTGGAAATGCTGTCTAAGAAGCGAGACATCTTCCTGCAGATTCGTGCAAGCCTGCAAGAAAAGGAGCAGACGTAAGGACGGGAGATTTCCTTGCCTCCGAGCGTGAAAATAGGGGGGAGAATTGCTGGGGTCAGGTTGTGTGCGTTAATGGGACGCTGGGTGCCACGTGCCGTGTGTCCACTCCTGTGCCATGGCGAGCTCTGTTTCACCAGAGCACTGGGCAGAAATTCAAATGCTTGGGGGTTTTAGTGGGATGGGGAGTGTCCTCCAACTTGTCTACTGACGTATTTGAATGACGCTTGATAGGGGATGGCAGGATGCCTGCATTTATAGATCGCAGGGAGGGGACTGGGGATGGTGACTCAAGAGATGCCCCAAGAACTTGTCCCCATGGGGCTATATCAGGTACTTATGTTTCCAGGACCCACGCTGCTATCTCTGCCTGGCACTGAGATACACCGTCTTCTCTGGAGCAGGTTAGAGGATGTCCAACGCAGCGCTGGCACGGCCTGAGACAAGATCTAGCTGGGTCAGAGACAGGCAGAGTGCTTACAGGGAGTTAAAACAAGCCCTGTGGCTGATGCTGGCTGTGACCAGTAGTAAATGCAAAGCAACTGATAAAGCTTTCATTACAGCATCAGTTCACTGGCAAATAGATCTTGGCCAGAGGGGACCTGTCACATCACCTAGGCCAGAGCTACCTATTTAATTTTACTGAGATCTACTTGGCAGGAAGCAGGGCTCGAGTTGGTCTGAAAACCTCAAAAGCCACCTTCTTCCTTTCTCCTCAGAGGATCCCTGAGCCTGTTATCAGGTACATGAGCGCTGAGATCTCAGCTCGCAGCTGGGGAAGCTGTGCCATGGCTGCCTTGCTCCCTCTGTAACACGCACGTACGCATGAACACGCGTGCACACCTCTGCATACGAAATCCTGGTTTTTGGTATATCTGTAGAAAACAGAAAATGTCTCCAATCTGTTCATTCTGGCTGGGAGCTGACTCCAGACCAGAGTAAGGCACAAAACCTGGCTCCCTCTCTCATTTTCTTTGAGAAAAGCTGCCTCTGCACATGGACACACAACAACAACACACAGGTGTCCAAATAACACAAAACAACACTTCACTGGTTATAAACGCAAAAGACTCTCGGAAAATACTGCGGCAGGAATGACGCTGCCACCCAACATGAATCCTATAGAAATAACATGTCCTTGCCCAGCAATGGGTATGTTTCAGAAGGAGTCACTTACCCAAATCACCAACGGGGTCAAATGGGATTCCTGTGAAGCCGTGCGGAGTGTATCGGAGGACCTGAGTGCTTTTATAGGGTCCTTGACGGAGCTACAGAAAGGAGACACCCTTTGTGGACGTTGTCCTGATTCATCTTTGGCCAAGCCCAGCTGCACCTTCATGTCCTCAAACGGGTTATTTAACTTATCATCCCCTTACCTATCATTTTAACCCAGAAATAGCAGTTGCCATGTGGCAATTCAGGCACTGGCTGGTTCCACCTAATCCAGACTGTAAAGTTATTTTACAGGCTGATTTTGTTTTGGATTTTAAAAAATCTAGAGTAGCTGTAAAGCATATATATGCATTAATGTTAGGGTGTATTTTTATATAAATGTGCATCTGCAGAGGTATGAATTTATATGTCTAATACACACATGCACACATAAAAATAGTACCAGAATGAAATGTTGAGCATGGGGACAGAAGGGCTGATGGTAACAGAGCGTATGAGGGACAGTCGAGATCTGCATGGCCCATGAGCCATACCGGAGCTTATTTTTGTTTGCTTTTTGTGCCGTTCCTTCGGCACCTTGGGCCTGAGGTCAACGAGGTTTGGGTCTGGCTTTTGCTCACAGAAGGACAGAAGATGACCTAAGTGCTATGAAATGGTGAAATGCAGGTGCACAGTTGTGAGGTCTTGTGTGGTGCCCTTGTAGAGCATGCTGAAAAATGTCTTTTTTTTTTTGGTAACTTCTTATTAAGGAGCCTTTTTGTTATATTATCCAGGTTTTTGTTGGGGAAAAAAAAAACAACCACAAACAGAACATTTTAAAATAGTAAAGTTTTCAAAATTAATTTTTGTACAATAAGCAATGACTCTTCATTGAGAAAAATAATGATAGAACATTTTTCGTATTAACTGGCTTCCATGAATGGCTTTCATTTCAACTGCGCTTCATCTTTAATTAAAAATAAAAGCAGAAACCTCTGTGCTGAGAGGTCGATTTATGTTGAATCTTCATCTGGTTGCCCTAGGCAGCTTTTGCTGTAATTACCTCTACAATCTTCTTTTTTTTTTTTTAATCTTTTAAGAGTAAATTAATTAGAGACCAACTGATTCCTTTATTCACCTTTACTCTCCCAGTACACGGAGCAAATAAGGAAGATACCAGCCGTGCCACTTGGGCCCCTGCTTTTGGTTTTGGAGGTAGGATGCTGCCTTGCCAAGCATGACGGAGACATTGCAGAGAGCCTTCAGAGCATGAACTTGTCACGCAGCCTTGGGTGAGTGGTTCATCTGGCCCATCTGTAAGGTAAGATCATACTGGGTGTAGAAGCCTAATTAATTAGTGCTGGTAACACCTTGGGGATACTCATACAAGTGCGCACGAAGGATCGTTACTAACCATACTTCATTTTTGAGCTTTTTTTCAAGATTAAATTATACTCGTGCAAATTATACCCTACCTGTGGGATAATAATACCCTTGGGAAACTGTAATTTTATGGTAGATTGGAGTTATTATTAAAATTAGAGTATTACAGTGCGGTTTGGTGTCCTCTAACAGTCTGTAATCCCTCCCGCAGGGGCTGGGGCAGCGTGTGAGCCACCGGGCAGAGTTTGGGTATCGATGTAGGAAAAGGTACGTCGCGTTTCGGCCGTGCGCACGCTGGCGTGCCCGCCTGCTTTCCCGTGCTTCGCTGCCGTTCAGAGCAGTGCGTTTCAAAGCACGTCCTTGGCAGCACCAAGACCCCCTTTTCTCCAAGGGCTTGGTTTTCCCAAAGATGCTTTCATAAGATGGGATTTGGGTAAGTTTTTAAAAGCTATTACCCAAGAGGGTGGGCTCCGTTCTCCTGCTTCTTACCCAGTTCTGCGCCCCTCCCCGTTACCGTTTACACAGGGTAGCCAAACTTCTGTCGCATTTAATCTTAGAGGAATTGGGCTCCTCGTCTCCTTTCCTCTTCCGACACCTCCCAGGCTTGCAGGACTCTGAGGCAGGTATTTGTGTCAGTAGGATCATTTTCATATTCTCCTTAAAATGGCCCCAAAACCCCCTCTTAAGTTCAAAGATGATACTCCTGATGGCAAAAGTAGCGTTATCCAGAATACAGCTCATAATTAACACGTCCCTAACAGAGCTTGGTGCCTGCCTAAACTGGGAGGCCAGTTTTTTATTAATGCTGCAAAAGGTGGCAGCTGATGGACAGACAGACTACAGGGGGGTGGTTGGGTCTGGTGGTTTCAGACCCTAAGTCAGAGCTAATAAGAAGCAAAGAGTTGTCAGACAAACCTCTGAGACCTGTTTTATAACAAAAATGGAATTGTCTGGAAAATGAAATGTTTTGAGGAATGTCATTGAGGAATGTCTCAAACGGAATGGGGTTTTGACAGATAGGTGATGAAATTTAAGTCCTGACTCTCCCATTTCATGTCCACAGTGGTCATGAGGTAGGTGAGAACTTATTTTCGCTAATATGTTTGATCAGTAGAGCAGCCTGGTGTACTTTGTGCCTAATACATTTAATTTTGACATCAGCACTTTTAAACCAAATCATTTTTGTGATGTACGTTCTGGAGATCGTTTTGAAACGCTGGTTTTTCTGATTCAGCGCTTAGCAAATTGTGAAATTCTGGGGTGTCCCAGAGGAATGACGTTTTATTTTCCAGTGAGGTCTCCGCGTGCTGCTTGTCACCGGCCACAAAGCAGGAGGTGCGGGTGCATTTATCATGTGCTGATCTTGCTGATAGGTTACAAGTGAAAGATAGCATGGTGAAAAACAGGCTGAGCATCACCCTCCCTGCGGGATGCTGAGTCCTGGGTCTGCCTGGTGGTCCAGCACGTCTGAACCCCCTAATAAACCCCACTGACTTCACCGGACTGCTCATGCCCTCAGTTACCCACATTCCTATGTGCACGTCTGGACAAGTGCCCGGGGACCTGGTACCCCAAACCACCTCAACTGAATCGGAGTTTGAGATTGGCTCTGTTTGTGCGTGATTTGCCTGCCAGCTTTTTATCTTGGGCCTCCCAGTTGTTGCTGAGGCTGGATATACCCGAATAATAACTTTTCCTGTGTTTAATATATCTCCACTCCTTCCTTTGGAGACTTCCGTAGCTAATAGGGATTTTTGATCTTCATAGCATGCTCCGTGTTCCCCTTGCTTCTGAGATTATTAATAAGTGAGGTTAAACAGGACGAGTTCCTCCCTTTCAGTGTTAAGCAGCTATTTATTCTTTTCACAGCAGACATGAAAAATGCCTGGGGCAGACGGATGCTGTGAGGAATCTGTTCAGGTCTGCCGTGCTGTTGTGTTAATTCAGACTTCTACCCCCTCCGAAGACATCTCTCGCAGGGATGTCACGTCCCTGCCCACGGGGAGCGATCGATTCACCTCGGCTAAATTGCAAAGGCGGCTGAGCAGCAACTCCTTTAGGCTATCCATGCCCAAGACACGCCTGCGCCTGTGCAGCCATCCCTCCATCTGCACCCCGGAGCAATCGTGACCGTACGTCGTGCAAGGGATGGACGCTCAGGTCCTCCACACCACATCGTGTCAACCCTCGGCCAAGGGCACGCTTGCAGCAACACACGGGGACGCTGCACTGTTTTGCCTTCTGTTTTATTGCTTTGCTTACACAGGCAGAGGCAGCCTAGCACAGAGGAAGAGGGAAAGTCTGGCCATGCATCGCTCAGTACCAACCAGGGCTGTGAAGACCAGGGTTAATAAGGAATTGGACAAGACATGGCAAATAGAAATGCAAAAACCAGAGTGGGACTGGACAAAATGCACCTCCTCGCAGGGGCCAACAGCCTCGCTTAGGCGGGGGCTTGTTTCAGCCTTTACTGCTGTGGTGGCCACTGGTGCAGAGGCTGCAGGAGCTGTTGCTCTATAGCGGGTTGTCTTTGGCGAGGAGCATCTTGTTGCTGTTGTGCTGGACAGGACAGAGCCTCTGCCCCACTGTCCTCCTCCTCCAGCACCTTGGATTCAGGGAGCTGATGGAAAGCCGGGTCATAGCGTGTTCCCTGGGACTTGGGATCCCAATGGGGGCTTGCGGCCCACTGCGGGGGCAGCAGCTTCTGAGTCTTGCCAGGGTTGGGGTCCTGCCGAGGGGCCTCGCAAACCTGGGTCGTGTTGTTTGGGTTTCTTCCTCCTGTCTCAGAGGGACAATTCAGGTCCTGCTCTGCTGACTCTGCCTCTGGACTCTGATGGTGGTTTGAACCCTGTCCTAGTGCCTCAGTTTCTTTGGCATGGCGGGTTTTTGGGTCCTCTTTTGGTGTCTCAGTCTCTTCAGCCTTATGGGTATTTCTCTTCTGCTCTGGGGTTGCAGTGTCCAGAATCTCACCTCCCTCTGCATCCCCTTCTGGTGCTTCAGTCCCGTCATCCTGATGGGTGTCCTGGTCCTGCTCTGGTGCCTCACCCTCCTGGGTTTGATGGGTGTCCTGGTCCTGCTTTGATGTCTCACCCTCTTGGGTTTGATGGGTGTCCTGGTCCTGCTTTGATGTCTCACCCTCTTGGGTTTGATGGGTGTCCTGGTCCTGCTTTGATGTCTCACCCTCTTGGGTTTGATGGGTGTCCTGGTCCTGCTTTGATGTCTCACTCTCCTGGGTTTGATGGTTGTCCCAGTCCTGCTTTGGTGTCTCAGCCTGCTGGTCTTGGTAGTTGTCTGTGTCTTGTGTCTTAGTGTCCTGGACCCAATTGTTCACACCCTGCTCGGGGACCTGCTGGTTGCTTGAGACCCTCCCTGCTGTGCGTGGCCCCAGCAGAGGCTCCCCGCCTGCCTTCTCTTGCACTGTTGGCTCTTGACCATCTTCCAGTGCTTGGTGCTGCTGGAGCGGCTTGTAACAAGCCTTGGCCACACGGAAAACCAGGCTGAGCAACTCACTGAAGTCAACCTTGCAGTTACTGTCATCATCCAGGAAGCACAGCACCTTCTTGATGGTTTTGGGGTCCTGAGGGTTCTGTAAAGAGACAAATGGTGTTGGCAAAGCCCGCGAGGCATTTTTGCCATCTCTCTAGGAGCACTCGAGCAATGTCAGGGCAGAAATCCAGCCTGATGTCCCACCAAGCTCTACACTGCACTGGGAGAACGAGCAGCCTCTTCTCTTCCCTGGGCTTTGAAGGCATCTGCGCCTTTCCCAGGGAGCCAGGTGTCTTGCACACCCGCGCGGGAGTGCGCGGCTTTACCCACCGCGCCGCGCTCCCCGTCCTAGCCCCGCAGCCAGCAGGGCCGACGCAGGCCCGCCGCCGCCGGCGGGGCTTGATCCTCACCGCCACCGCGTCCGCAAACTCCTGCTCAATGAGCTGCCTCAGCTCCTCCCTGCTCAGGGGGCTGCAGTCGCCGCCGCTTCTGGTGCACATGTAGAAAGCCGCAACGACGCCGTTGATATTTTCCTGGAGCTGGGCCATCTCCCTGCAAAATTGAGGCAGCCTGCGAGAAAAACACAGACAAAAAGAGGCTTTTTTTTGGTGGTTGTTTGCTTGGCTTTCAGCTAAGTTACTCTTAAACAACACGGCTGGACAGGCAGAGAGAGAAAGAAGAGCTGGAGAAGGGCACAGATAAAGTGAAACGGCGTGAGGGAGGGGAAGGAGAGGGCAAGGAGGATCTTGCAGGAGAACAAATCTGAAAAATGAACCTCAGCTGCAGAGATGGCCGGGTGTGAGGGTCAGCAGGTGATGGCCGGAGAGGTGAGGGACAGTGAGAGCCGAAAGGCTGGGGGCACACGGTAAGAGAGGAGAGAAAAAAGCCCCATTTGTCTTTCTCTGGAGCAGAGCAGAGCTGAATGGAGGTTGTCTCTAACAAACCATGGAGTAGTGTAATTCCAGATCTCTTTTTTTGTATTATTTTTATTTTTTCCTCTAGGAGAGCTCAGCGGTGGCAGCTCCAGGGACAGCCTCATGGCCAGAAGCTGCTGCTTTGCTGCTGGTAGCAAAGTCAGACAGTGTGAAATGTCTGTCCGGGCTTACCTGGGCGAGGAGCAGGAACGCTGAGCTTCGGGAGCGCAGTGTGGAGCGGATCAGCTCATGACCATCTTATATACAGTTCACGATCACAGCCGGCATCTTCCAGAGGAGACACCCCTTCAGCAGGGTGACCTGAAACATCTCTCACCCAATTACATTGTCATGTCCCTGTCTTCATTTGTCTCGTTCTCATTAACTTCAGCTCTGATGCTTTTCTCTGGAGTTAATGCATGATCCTTCGTAAGCTTGCCCCACCTGCAGACACGTTTCAGAGGAATTTGACAGAAAAGGTTATTTTTACCACTGGAGGATTTAATTTAAGGTGATGCCCGAGCAACGCCCAGGACTCTCGTGTTCGGTAAACGTGTTTTGTGAAAGGCGATCCCCAGTGACTGACACGCAGGGGAGGAGACCGCCCGGGAGCGGTTGCGTGGTGAATAAAGAGAAAACAAAGGAAGAAAAATGAGGATGTTGAGATGCCAGGATTAATGTAATTCCATCCAGAAACTCCCTCTTCTGGATCCCGAGCGGGAGGTAGGCATCGAGCAAAGAAATCTTTTCGAACAGTGCCACCAAGTGGCACTTGGAGTAGGACAGAGGGGTGACATGGCGTGTCCCAGAGCCAGCGAGCAGCTGGGGACCGTGGGCATGGTGGGCTGCAACCACCCATTTACCAGAAGGGAAAACTGAGGCACATGGCAAGAAAGGGACTGAAACTCCCTC